TGTGGTTAACATTTACAATTAGTGGCCTTTGAGTAAAGCAGATTCTCCTCCGTAGTGTGGGTGGGCCTCATCCAATCAGTTGAAGGCCTTAAGAGAGAAAGAAGGAGGTCCCCCGAGAAAGAGACAATTCTGCCTCAGCGCTGCCTTCCAATTCCAGCTGCAACATCGTCTCTTCCCTGGGTCCCCAGCCTGTCATCTTGCCATGTAGATTCCAGACTTGCCAATCCCACAATCGCATTAGTTCCTTAAACTCTCTCTCTCTCTACACACACACACACACACACACACACACACACACTTCGTTCCATTTCTCTGGAGAACCCTGACTAAGGCATAGTTCCTACAAAAAAGCCACGTCTGATATTTCCCACACCGGATACCCAGAACCCAGTTGGATGGGAGTCACATACAAGCAATGGAGAACGTCATTTCCGATGATGATGAGTGCGATGCCAGAGTTCCCAGAGCCACTGTCCCCTCGGGGAGGAAGACACGCCCACCACCGCTCATCTCTCATTAAAACTTGACCTCAGCTCTTGGGAGCGGTGTTTCCCTGACACAGACCTGGGAAACAGCTTTCTAAATTAAAGATGAGTCCTTTAAAATGTTCTCAAGAGGGGCGCCTGGGTGGCTCAGTCAGTTAAGCGCCCGACTTCGGTTCAGGTCATGACCTTGCAGTTCATGAGTTCAAGCCCCGAGTCGAGCTCTGTGCTGACAGCTTGGAGCTCGGAGCCTGCTTCGGATTCTGTGTCTCCCTCTCTCTCTGCCCCTCCCCATTTGTGCTCTGTCTCTCAAAAAAAAATAAATAAAATACAAAATTTTTAAAAATGCAGTTGATTGGGGTGCCTGGGTGGCTCAGTCAGTTGAGTGTCTGACTTCGGCTCAGGTCACGATCTTGCATTTGACGAGTTCAAGCCTGGCATCGGGCTCTGTGCTGACAGCTCGGAGCCTGGAGTCTGCTTCGGATTCTGTGTCTCCCTCTCTCTCTGCCCCACCCCTGCTCACCCTCTGACTGTCTCTCATTCTCAAAAATAAAAATAAACATTTAAGAAAATTTTTGTAAAAATAAATAATTTTTAAAAAGTCCTCAAGAATTTGGATTTTCAGAAAACTTCTGCATCAGAAGCAGCTTTGCTAGTGACTGGAGCCCCCCCCCCCCCCACACACACACACACCGTGGTCATTCTGCAGCTAGGACTCTGGTGGCTCCCAGTCCCCACGGCCACCTTCTTGCAATCAGATTGTGCACCATTTTTCCAGGACTCCAGAAGGAGCCCACGTTTAAGAAACACAGGCCAAAACCACAAAGACTCGTGTCTTCTAGAAATAAGTACCAGAAAGAGAGATTTCATCAGTCACTCAGACACGCTTACGGACTCCTGCATTCATTTCCTGGGGCTGATGTAACAAAGCACCACAAGCAAGGTGGCTGAGAATGACAGAAACGTGTTCTCTCACAGCTCAGGAGGCCAAAGGCCAAGGTCAAGGTGCCGGCAGGGCCGGGTCCTTCTGGAAGCTCTGAGGGAGGATCCGTGCCATCCTCTGCCCCAGCTTCCGGTGGCCTCCACCTGTCCCTGGCTTGTCTCTGCCTCTGTCTTCACAGCACCTTCTCCTGGTGTCTCCGTGTGTCCCTCCTCTTCTTCTAAGGACGCCAGGGACTGGATTTAGGGCTCACCTCACTCCAGCACGACCTCATCTTAACGTGATTCCATCTGCACCTGCAAAGATCTTATTTCCAAGGTCACATTCTGAGATTCCTGGTTGACGTGAATTTCTGAGGGACACTCTTCAACCCACTGCACCATTATGGTCCAAACACCAAAACCACAAACAGCTACCCACCACCGTGCTCCCTGCTGAGTATGCCCGGGAACCCACCTGGTTGAGGGTAAGAGTTCCAAGAATTCAAAGCCATCAAGTTCACTCCAAGAGAGGGGTCCGCTCATGAGGGTCTCCCCAGTGTGGGGTTCCTTTCATTGCAAGGAGCAGAACCCACTCAAACCAGCCCAGGTGAGACGGCGAGTGTATGAGCCATGCACGGAACTTTCCGTCAGGACGGAGGGACACAAGACCCAGCCTCGGGAAGGGAGGGCAGGGCCCGGGAGGTCCAGGGGCAGCCATGCCCCTATGACGTTTCTGAGGCTTCCCTCTTGACCGTGAACCTCTCGGCAGGCTTTTCAGCCCCAGTTCTATTTCCCTGGAGCGGTCACAGTCATCTTCCAGACACAAAGTGACGGAGCGAGCAGGGCCATGTCCCTCATAGGTGCTGCCAGCCTAGGGCGGGATCTGCCTCGACTAGCAGGGGAGCAGGTCATTTGATCCCGTGCAAGTGACCCAGCGACCTCGTACACGTGGGATTCATAAATCGGACTATGGTCTCCCCACCAGGGCCCGAGGGCCTCCCTCGATGGTGGACCATTGGCCCTCACCTATAATGAGTAATTTGCCCGCTAGAAATACAGGGGGCAGCTGACTGCGGCCCGGGGGCCCAATCCAGCCAGCAGCCTGGTTTTGTGAAACAGCCCTGCAGGTGCCCAGCCCTAGCTATTCAGGTTCAGTTCACCTGCAGCTACAACACAGACCCCGGCCCATAAAGCCGGATACGTTCACCGTCTGGCCCGTTGCAGAAAAGGTTTGCCGACCCCCGGCAGACAAGAGTGTGTTGGAGAAGCAGGGGGGCCGGGACAGCGGAGGGGTTTGAATTCTCGTGTGCAGGGCAGTTACAGGACAGGGTGGGGCATCATCCACAGCTGGCCCAGCAAAGGGCCCCGTGGGGAGGCGCCCTCACACCCGCCCCTCTGCGCTCAAGCCTCCTCCCCTGGGCTGATCCCTGGGTTCCTCCTGCTGCCCAATCCCGTCCCTTCTCTGGCCTCCTCCCCACTCCCCGCTCCTCCCTGGTGAGCTCACCCTCTGCCCATGTTCCGGCCGTGGCCGAGGCCCCACTGAGGAGCTCTAGATGCACAAAGCAGCCACAGGGCTGTCCCTCAGGGTCCACAAGCACTTGCCGCCACTGAACTCATTTCCCTGTCCCCAGGGCTCCTGTCTCAGCCCACCAAGCTCTGGAGCCAGGAAGCCCCCCACCCATGACC